TACTATAGATAAATAAATTAATATTTTACTAATTATCATTTTAATTACATATAAATAGCTCTCTCTCTTTCGGTCTTACATAATGTTATTCTACATATGAAATATAAAGAGAAAGAGAGAGAGAGAGAGAGAGAGAGCTATTTATATGTAATTAAAATAATTAGTAAAATATTAATTTATTTATCTATAGTATATTTAAATATGTTTATAAAAAATTAATAATAATTTAATATTTAATAATAATTAAAAAGTAAAGTAGCTCTCTCGCTTTGACTTGGACTGGGACTGGATCTGGGTTTTAAAGTGAATCCCATACAAAATCTATAAAAATTTGAAACGAAAGATCATTATGAATGATTCAATAGGTCTATCGGGATATTACTGAAAAATACTGTATGTCAATAAATAGTATGATATGGTGAGGATCGGTAGTTTAGATTACTTCAAATTTAGTGTTAGACAAAGATAGATTAGAAATATGATCAGGGCATCTAATAGCGCTATAAGAGCAATAAGAATTCGACTTTAAACCGTTAAAATATTTTAGAACTTAAGTGACCACTGACCTAGAGCAGATCACAATTTAACATAATTACAACTCCAAACTATTTCATGGAGATTCTAAACTGCTCTGGCATAAGGTTTTAAGATATTTTTACAATTCCTTTATATAACTAAGAACCCTTGTAGCACAGGACAGTCATTTAACACGTTAATATTAGCCATAATTTTGTTTGTTATACGGGTATAGCTAGTTAACTTAACTAGTTTGACTGGCTTACAGTACTCGAGCAGGTCATTTAGGTGTTATAAACATATTGACATAGTGATTTTACACATAAAAATAACATTATTTCTATGGACGGCACTTCATGAACAGAGATTGCCGTTACTTGGCAGTTTAATGTTTGTTTCAAAGCAATCCAAATGCCTTTTATAAACGCATATTTAAGTATATATTTTCATGATTTATATAAGTACATGACATATAAGTACATATAAATTAAACTTAATAAGTTCTGAACGGAATTGAAGAATTAATTTTATTTTATATAATATAATACAAATAATAAATTTAATATTAATTATGATAGTTTTTACAAATGTGAATGAATTTCAACAAAAAAATGATTAAAACATAAATTAGTTTCGCAAATAGCACACCTAATGAAAAAACTATGTTCACAATCATTAATATCACATAAATATTGTGTACACTTAAAACAAATTTCACGTACAGTTTGAAATTCAATTGAATTACCGGTAAAAGCCTTTTTGAAACAATATTTAATTAATGGAATAAATTTATGACTTGACATTTGTTCCCAAATTAACGCCCACATTTTAATTATATTATCTCTGTCATAAATTTTAATGCTTATGTTTTTAAACATAATATAATTCTTGATTTGACGGCTAAAATACTTTAGTTCATGATTAAAATCCATGTCTAATGGTTGACAGAATCCTGTCGTGTTTTCAGGAATTTTAAATTTAAAAATATCTATATTATCATAATCTAAATTATAATCAAATTCAGGGGTCCAGTGACACGGATAAGAATCCAAACATAAAAGTATTTCAGGATTTTCATTGGTATTTGCAAACTGTTTAACATAATCACAATCAATTAACTTTTGTGCCCATAAATTGCAATTTTTTGTCCATATTACCACTTTTAGTGCAAAATACCTGAATATTCTTATATTTATTCTCTAATTCTTTGACACGTTTTTTAACAATAGGTCAGAATTTTCCAGTGGGCTCATGCAATGTTAGAAATATTTTGCCAAATGTTTTTCCGGCCATTGAAATGGTTGGCATTACAGTATAGGAATGCGTTATTGCGTTTGTATTTTGAATTTTACCTTAGTATGAATAATACAGAAATATTTTTAATTACAAATATTTTTAAAAATTAATTTACAGTATAAATTTTTATGTATGAGGTCGTACACTAAAAAATAAATCTCGAAAAATTTTAATAACTTTTTTGTTATAAGTCGTATCCAAAATTTTATAAAAGAATTATGAATATCAACCTCAACTTCATTAATTAATTGTTCACAATACAATTTTACGTATTTTGAATACGACTTATAACAAAAAAGTTATTAAAGTTTTTCGAGAATTATTTTTTAGTGTACGGCCTTATACATTAAAATATACAATTAAATGTTATAAAATTTATATAATATATATAGACTTACAAAATACTTTTCTATCTCCCTTATTAGCAAGTGTACGTTTTGGTACCATTTATTTTTAAAAGGAGTTTGGTCTGCATTCAAAACTAATTCTGGATTAACTTTATTATTGTAAGTTAATTCAAATTCTTAACGAAAATCAATAATCGATTCTTTAATAGCAATTTGTGATTCGATACTTTTATTTGTCACATAGTCAGTTATTTTGCGACCAGATATACCGTATTTTCGTTTAAACAATAATATAAAATTATCACAAGCTTTAAAATCGAAATAATTTAAATTGCGTGCAATTTTCAGGGCCATTAATTTCAATAAATTATCAGTCATACAAATATAATTTTTTCGTTTTTCTTGATATTCTTGGTACAATTTTTCTTTTATAACTTTAATTTTATATTTGTTGAATCCATTGTAATTATTTTTAACAAATTTTTTAATTCGATAAAATAATCTAATATTTGTACACTTTGTACACTTTGATTTCACTGTTGAAAAGTTATGATTCGGGTGATCTCTAATATAATCAGCGATATACATAATATCCGTATAAATTCTGGTCATATTATTTGAATCAGTATTAATTGGTTCATAATCTGTATCATTTATGTCATTATCGATTATATTATCACTAATATCATCACAATTAGTAACAGAATATTCTTTAATAAGATTTTCAATATATATTAAAGAATTTTCAGCAAATGTTAGCAAATTAAATTAACATTAATTTGATCCCCATTAATTAAATGTTCAATTAATTTAATCACATTTTGCACACTTAAAACAGACATTTCTAATAAATTAAATGTTTTCTTTAAATATAAATTAATGAATATTATACAATACACAATATTTATAATATTTTAAATATATTAAGAGATGAGTTTAGTTTATGGTTTAATTAAACAAATTGGATTTATTTGTGAACAAAATATTTATTGTTTATTAAATAGACAATAATGTAAACAAGACCACGTTTTGGTATAAATAAATAAATATAAATTTTTTAAATGAGTAATTAAAATAATTTTATACATTAATATTCATAAATTAAATATACATTAATATACAGTACATGAATATATTTACTACTTTTATATATGAATTTATACGCAAATATTATCCGTAAATCTAACGACATTTTGTTTGTAATTTGACGGTTCATTGCCGTTAGAGTGTTCATGAAGTGCCGTCCATAGAAATAATGTTATTTTTATGTGTAAAATCACTATGTCAATATGTTTATAACTGGATTTACTCGACGAGCTCATGATATTCGGTCAGTTTAATCAATTAAATTTATCGATATGGGCATATTGTTTGTTTTAATACCGATTATAATTGCACAATTTACTGACATGACACGATGTTCCCCACTCAGTCTCATCAATACGTCTCTGAAGTAAATCCAGTGAAATATCCCATTTGTTTACGGCATCACAATTTTGATCCAGTTCATCAACTTTATTATGAACCTGATATTTATGAGGTTTATGACCTGTAATTAATAATGTTTTAAAAAGTTTGCTTGTTATAAATAATTTATGTAGTATATTAATGATTTATATTTTTAAAAGCATTAATGGCTTTAATTCTCATCATTCAAGAAATCTCTTTGAAATCAACACAAATAGGACGAGTCGGAGGACAGGGAGGGACAGACTTCACATAAATGAAACGCAGTTTAAAAAAACATTTTATTTAACACTATTTTTTGCAAAGGAGTCAAAATGTGGAATAATCTTCCCCTCGATATTAGGTTCGAAACAACAATAAAGAGATTCAAATCGAGATTTAAAAACTTTTCACTGAATGATCTGATTATTCCATAGATTTTAATTATTTTAAAAATTATTATTACTTTTTATTTTCTTTATATTCATATTTTAAAAGGATTTCTATGAAACCCAATTTTTATTGATAGAGATTCCAATAAAGTTTGATTTGATTTGATTTGATCTACCTAAAAAATCATCAATTTGCATTTTGCCAATTGCTGTGCATGTTGTATACCTGTGACAGTTGGGTCGGTAACATTGTACTTCTCAGCAAAATATTTATATTGGTCATACAGGTTTCTGTATCAAGGTCACTTTCTTCAACATTATCTAACCAATGATTTGAAAACCACCCACCTATAAAATATTTATAAAATAATATATATTATATAATTGAATTGAATTTAAGTATCACCTAAAAATACTTTCAACGTTTTGTCATATTTCCAGAAATAGCTCACTTCCGTAGGAATTAATGATGTAATTGTGTAAACGTTTATGTTATTTGGTAATAATTTGTCAAACATTGATCCTGATAAAATTAATGTAGCATATTTTATTTAGTTTTATGTTTAAATAAACTGTAATTTTAGCCAGGTTGTTCACTATACTTGAATTGCACGTGTCCATATAAAAAACAAATTTAGAAAATTTATTATTTTTATGCATATCTATGAGTGCATTGTTTAACTCCTCAGCATATAGTAGACCATTTGAAAATATAACATAACCTAGGTAAATTAAACATAATTGTTAAATAGCCAATTTACTATCTATTTAACTTGTTATTAAAACCTGGCATGCCATGGTCCACAACAAATACAAACACATAATCATTAGGCCCACTATTCACAACTTTTCTACGTTGTTTATGTAACTTGGAATCACCTTGTAAAACTTTCAAAAAATTCTAAAAATACAAAATTAAATATTTTCAATTTACAAATTAATATATAACTAATTTCCAAACCTTAGGGTTGACATCATTTCCGGTATAATCCTTTGGGACCCCCTAATAAACATCGGTACCGTTAGTCTCGTACATAACTATCCCGGGGTATGAGATCTCCTTATTATAGGCGATGTCATCGAAATGGAAAACAATTATATTTTCTTCGGGAATGCCGTACGACCGGAACATATGGTAGGCACGGTATACGATTGCCTAGGTTATTTAAAAGTTTTATTATAGATTATGTTAAATATTTTATACTATAAACTTACATGATCAGCATAATTTCTCCAGCCATTGTTACTACCGCATAGTACTATCCAATTTTTAGCTTCAGGGTCCTTGGTCATATATTTAGAAAAAGAGTTTCCAGTTATTATTGCAATAAATACTGAAATTATAACTATTATTTTCATTGTTATATTAATTAATTATATCTAGTTCAACAAACCTAGTTTTCAAATATGTTATATAATTATGTAGTGTATAATTATACTGTACTAGTCAGACAAAAATTTTTATGTTCATTTGTTAATAATACAATTTCAATTTGTATTAAAAATGTATACAATCAAATTATAAACTCTTGGTTTATTTGTTATATATTGATATTTAACACTTATATAATATAATATAAGATATTTATTGTTAACATTTTGCTGACATGTTGAATCAATTGATTGACAATATCCGCATCACTTGATTCAGTCATGTCCGCAAAAAAATATTCACATATATTTTTAAAGTCTAGAAAAATAATAAAATTAAATTTAATAAATATTTAACAATAAAAAATAACTATTGTATACCTTGTTTAAAGTAAATGTGTTGGTTATTTCGTTGGCACTCGATGTGGTTGATTAAAATTTTAGTGTATTAAGTGAACGAATTGTTGTTTATTACAGTTTAAATTGCATTTACAATAACAAAAGTTTTAATTACTTTTAAACTAAAATAAATTATTAATTATAGTAATTTTGAATATTTTTAATTATACAGTAGAATAAAATCATGAACAAAGTAATTTTCAAAATTGTAATTAATAAAGAAATTATTAACAAATTTAATTAAAAACTAATAAACCCACAATACATTGAGTTTAATTCAATTCTTAATCTAAACTTAATAAACAGTTTATTAACACTGGATTAATAGTGTATAATCACTTTATAGAATATTTTTGTTATTTAAATTCAATTTAAGCATTCTATTAAGCCAGAAAATAATAATTTTATAAATAAAATAAATAGACCCTTATTGTATGTTTTCGATCATATATACAAATCTTAAAATTTTAAAAATTATTTTATTTTAAAGGTAAAATATTGTGTATGTCCATATATTATATACACAAGAATAATATACCCAAGAATAATATAATAAAAATAATATACCCATTATTCTAAAATTACTACTATTAATAGATGTCTATAACTTTTTAGAAAATAGTTAATTTAACCATTAAGTCAATATTTATAATTTTTAAAATTTTATGAAACGCAAAATAATTTGTTATATCTAAAATTATAAAATTGACGGTTTATTAAGTTATGTTAAATTATTATATAACGATACGAAAGTCAGTGTTTTATATTTGTAAATTAAAAAAATATGGTACAACACTAGTTCATTTATAACAATAATAAACTTTTTTGAACGATTTATAATAGTTATTACGAGATAAAAATTAGTGCTGTTATGCGGTATATTCATTAATTTCTAACTTTTTTTGGATTTATACCGTTGTCTAGATATATTTTTATTTCGTCTGGAACATCCTTTACGTAATAGGAGCTTATGTAAATCCTTTCGTACGCATGTACGCTCACAAAATCATAACGATTAGTATTATTAATTTGAAGTATGAAATTGAATTTTTAAATATTTTCCTGAAATTTCCATTTTGAATTTACCCCTGGGGGTACCTCTTTCACAGCTCTACCCTGACAATATGTCCCTTTTAAAATTGTTTCCAATGCGTAGTCGTTGTATTGTTCCGCAGTCATTGTTTCATTTTCGTTTCTGCCTTCCCTTACATGCTTACGCCAATGAGCAATGAATGCGAGATTATCAAAAAATCCAATTTCTTTAGAATTAACTTTTTTAATTATATCATCATATTCAAATTGTTTGGATTCACTTATTTTATTATAATCGTTTTTTTTCCATAATCCATAGATATTTAATTCTTTACAATGATCAAGATACAGGATTTTAAATCTATCAGTTGCTGACTTGTTTAAACTGAATTCACTTTTAAATAAATCGCCAAATTTGCCTTTTTCGCTTATATATGAGGGTAAAGTTATATTATTTTCATAACACTCGTCGGTTTCAAGGTAATTTTCATGTAGAAAATTCAATTCCGAAAAAGCAAATGTGAAATGATTGCCAAATGTTAAAACATGTGACTTTTTATTACACTTGTTAAGAGCATATGATGCTGCAGCTCTAGCTAAATATCGAAACCTTAGTGCTGGTTTGTCCATAAAACTATATTTACATTCTTTTGCATATTTCATATTTTTAACTTCAGATTGACCATGGCCTGTTAAAATGTCTTTTAATAGTTCTTCATATGATTTGCCTCCTCTATTCAATCCAGGCTCCCATTCCTCTTCATAAAAATTATTACTGTTTGATGTCATTATTCACTCGAAAGGTTAGTTATAATAAATATAGTTAAATTAATAGAAGTTTAACACAAATTGTTTCTTTTTAGCCTGCGCCTTAAATTTTTGATTATAAGTCTGCATTATTTGGTGTTTTATATTTTTTAAATTGTCAATATCGTTTTGGAAAACATGATTCCCTTCATTCTTTACCCACATTCGTAATAACTGGTCAATTCGATCAATCACCGTGTCTTTATACTCGGAAAACATGTCACCTTGCACATTTTCAAATTTCCATATTGTAATCAAGTACTGAATTCCCCATCGTATTTGGCACACCTCACCAGGCGCTTTTAATCCGTTGAGATATTTTCTAGGAAAGTGCTTCAAAAACTCGAAAAACCACTTACGTCTCCCATTCAACGCAATAGTAACGTGCTCATTTATAGGGCGAACATCAGGTAATAACAGCAATTTCTTAATGCGAGCTTCATACTTTTTGCCAAAATTATAAATCTTTTTAATTAAATCAATTCCAGCTTGATCATAATATTCGGCATCTGTCAAGAGCATCTGGGAAGCTTCCTTAATGTTGTTTAATTCATATTTTAAATCTGCATGTATGTCACTTGATTCAGGTACAGTACTTTTACTTTGAAAAACTTCCGGATCTAGTTTTGATTTTTTTGATGCTAAACTATGTAGTGTACCTTCATAAGCACTTGGTTTTGACATTACTTATTATTTGTCAGGATTTGGCATAACACAAATTTGTTTACGAGCAATTTAAGCTGAAAAAATAATAATTTTGAAATTAAGTAATTAACAATGATTATTTATAGCAGTATCACTTTACTAAAATAAAATAACTGATTGTTATTCACTAAATTACAGTGTAGTTAGAAATATTGGACAAATTCACCATGGATATTATCAAAAATTGTATAATAACTATTAGAAACAACAAACAATACTAACATTCTTGAGTAACCCATATGGTACTAAATGTGCAGTTTAAAAAATTAATATTGAAAAATGGCGTACTTATATAAAACACTTATATAACACAAATATATATATAAATTTATTTTATTAAACCAGAATTATTTCTTAAACAATAAAAACTATAATAAACTTAAATCATATAACATTTATTTAAAAATACATTCCATTACTTATAATTCGATGCAAACTATTTATTTTAATATATCAGGTGTTTGCAAAAGTTTTGCGAGGTGAGATTTATTCAGTAACGGATAGAAGTATCGAAATTATTTTTGAACCTCAACTATGGTTTTTGCTTTTATGTATTCACTCGAAGAGACAACTCTTTTAGAGCACCGGTATGTTAGCACAGGTAGGTTATCTGTACAGCAAAAACTACAAGTCGCAGAAAGGCGAATAGCACATCGTTGGAAAGAGCATAAAAAATAATCAAACCCGTCTCTCGGGATTTCCCTGGTAATTGTCACAATATGAGATAGGGAGCACAGGTAAATAAGATTTTTGAAAAAATTCTTTTAAATCCATAAAGTGATTAATCCAACGAAAACTGCTTAAAATGTAAATAAAATTTCAGTTTTGAATTTTTAAAATATGTCACTAAATGAATGTGCTAGGGCATTTTAAAAATTTGACCATTTTTTGCTGAATCTGTAAAACACTTAAGCACACTTAAAGTTTGATGTGGTCTAGATCCGTTATTTCTCAAGATATCTTAAAGGTGTAAAATTTAAATCATATCTATATTTTGAGGGTAATTTGATGATCCAGTCAAAACTTTTATTTATTTTACCTAACTTTATTTTATTCAAAATAATAAACTACTGTGCAACCCTATCTCTTATGGAAACATTTACCAGGGAAATCCCGATAGACGGGTTTGATTATTTTTTATGCTCTTTCCAANTATTTTATTCAAAATAATAAACTACTGTGCCACCCTATCTCTTATGGAAACATTTACCAGGGAAATCCCGATAGACGGGTTTGATTATTTTTTATGCTCTTTCCAACGATGTGCTATTCGCCTTTCTGTGATTTGTAGTTTTTGCTGTACAGATAACCTACCTGTGCCGACATACCGGTACTCAAAATGAGTTGTCTCTTCAGGTGAATACATAATAGCAAAAACCATAGTTGGGGTTCAAAAATAATTGGAATATCTTTTTTGGTTTCAGAATAAATTGCATTTTAGGGCTCAAATTTACCTCGCAAAACTTTTGCAAACCCCTAATAGTTTTATAAATTATATATATATATTTGTAAATATTGTAAATATATATATTGTATATATATAAATATATATTTAACATGGGACTTAATATAGTTAGTATTTTATTAGCTTTGAAATTGATGTGAGAAGGATATTGCATAAATGTAGAGAAAAATAACAAAAAAAGTTATTCGTCATAGCTTCATAGTATTTATGATACATAAACTAAATTAATTTCCTTAGTAATAATCATTCGTATAAAATATTAATGTGTTGTCATATGGCTGTACACTCTTAATAAAAATAATTAATATATTTAACACACTATTTTTTATACGCTTTTCCGTTGGGGAATAAAAACGTATACTAGAATTACCGGGGAAAATTTTGTAGCATTATTAACAAAACATAATTGTATTAAACTTATTATTTTATAATTTTGTAATTTATTATAAATATTGTTTTATAAAATAAATTTTTTAAAATGATTTTAGAATGTAAAGTGTTTTAGTATCATAAC